AAGCTGGTAGTTTATTTGAGTAGGAATTTTCGTATAATCAATGTTAAACGTGCAGCATATCTTCCGAAAAACGCACCTTTGTTTTAAATCAATCGGCAATTAGTGAAACAATACCCAAAAGTCGACAAGCGTACCGTTATTCATCAATTGCCTTATTTTTAAAACAGACGATATTACTGCGCAAGTTGAGTTTGTTTCGGAATTTACATTCCGTGTACGCCGAACAATCCATGAACCAATTTGGAACTGCTCACTGTTGGATAACTATAAAAACGTGCAAACTTGACCGCAAGATTATTTGTAAAATCATAGTGTTTTGACTTTAAAGGCTGCTCGGAATTCAGGAAAATGTATTAGTTTAGCAGAAAATGTATCGAGCATCCGAGAATGTACATATCGGGTAATACAATCCGTATAATTAGTTCTGTAATTACAATAATAGAGTACGCAATCACGCCGCAGCGTACAACTGAACCTACTAGGTATAGTAAATTCTCCGTAGATGTATTCCCTGGGAATGAGGGAAAGGCGTGCATCTATAGAGGGCTTACAGTCCGAACCCCGTTATACCGAAGGCACGGGGAAGCCATCTATGATTTGTTATAACGAGAAATTCGGTAAAACAAACATTCTCTTTGTAACGAAGTCTAGCCTAAAATCAAGTAATATTCGGTATATCGAGGCTTTCGTAAGCAATATTTATTAGTTGCAAAATAAATACCAATATATAGTAAGTCGAACTAATCCGTAAAAAAAGAATCTATTCCAGATTGCTTTTTGCTTGTAACATTATGTAATTCCACCTTTCTTTTCAATGAACGAAAGACTTTGAGCTCATTGTAATCTATTTCCATATTGCTTGTTGAAGAAGATTAAATGCCGTTTCAAACAGTGTTATGACATCTTTAGTCAAAACAGTGGAAAGACATGGCGAATTACTTTCATTATCGTCCTCTTCTTCTATAGGAAAAAATAGAGAATCAATATCCTCATCTGCCACCATATCGTTGCCCCTTCATATATTCTGTAGCACAACGCTAATGAATCGTATGACAAATTTTATAATTGCTACAACCAATCACCATGCTAAATTTTTTTATCACGTAATAAACTACGTTATAAAGCGACTAGTACAATATAAATATACAAAAATTCTGCAACCGAACTTCGGTAACGGAATAACGAGGATTTACTATTAAAATTTGTAATAACGATCAAATTTAAATATTAAAGAACACTTGCTTCAGTATAACAAAAATTCGCTATAACGCATTTCGTTATAACGGGGTCCGACTGTACTGTATTTAAAAATGGTTAGAATTTGATTGGTTTCACGTGATCTATTCATAGTAACTGCTGATTGAATAGTTCCTCGACATTATTTTGATGTAAAAAAATTTAAACTTTTTGAAGCCGCATTAATATTGATCATTTTGGGTAGTTCTATAATTCAACAAGTTGTTAATGCGCATAATTCTTTATGACATAAGATTCTTATTCGTCTACTAAAATATACTCATTTGTTAATTCTTTCTTTGTTGTTGGATATCAGGAAATAAATTGTAATCAGAATGTAGCAGTACTTTTTAATTGGTTTCCGTCTATAGTTTGGATACCGTTTGATCTTTGTTCACAATTATGGGTACAAATTTTACGAGTAATTTCTTAATATAACAAGTTAAATACTTAGAGAGAAAAATTTACTTATGGTTGGGGATTCGAAAAAACCGTGCATCGCTTCACTATATACAGCTTTAGTATTAAGACTAAGCAGAGTGGCAACACGAATAAGGTTTATAAAACAAATAAACGGATGGAATATAGTTTAATATCAATAATGGTTATGTAATTTCTGGAATAAAGAATCGACGATAAAACTTTTCAGCATCCTCACGTAACAGTAAACGCAGTTCGATGTTATAAAAATAACATGACCCGCACTTATATTCCGTCTCAGAAATATTAACTTAATGTGAATATTAAACGTCTAACAATTATAGAGGAAGAAGGGGAATGATGATTGGTAGAAAAGGCAATGAGGGATCGTGTTCTTGATCGTTGCACAATAGTTACACGAGCTGGGAATTTCACACCTATTTATTAATTTTCCGATTTCAAGCATTCCGTCCCCTTTAAGGATGGAGATTGATACACTTTCCATAATTCTTTTACTTCTTATTATTATTTTTACAATTCTTTCTATAAAAGATGTCCCTAACCCTGACGTTCATCCACTGATTCTAACATCTCAAGCGGATGTCGCGCGCATCAGGCATCCTGGGGAGACTGCGATATACAGGTCAAATCTGGCATTGCACGGAATGGCCTTGCTATCTAACCCAGAAAAAGGTGTAAAGACAATCGCTGATTTGTTCAAAGCTGGCGCTTCACA